TGCTGTGCGCGGACACCTGGGCCCACAGCTGGGCAGCAGGCAAAGGCCAGTCCCCCCCACCCCCAGGGCTTGGAATTTTGCACGCGCGCGCACACGCACACACATGACCTTGCAAGGCTCTCCTCTGAGGAGATTCATCCATTCAGAAACTATTACTGAGTGCCTTACTGCATGCTGGGCGCGTCTAAAGCTGAGTATTCCTTAGCGAAAAGAAAGACACAAAACCCTTGCCTTTGCGGACATATTTTCCTGCATAAACATGATAAATAAGGAAATAATAGAATGCGGTAAGGTTGTGGGGTGTGGTAGGGATGTGGTAATAGAATGTGGGAAAGTAGAGATAACTAAGATCTGTGGGTGGGGAGGGGGGAGGAGCAGGTTGCAAAGGTGGTGAAGGTAGGCCTCCTGAAGGTGACATTTGAGCAGAGAGAAAGGAGGCAAATGAGTGGTGCATGAGGCGATCAGGAAGAGCATTCCAGAAAGGGGAAGCAGCCCATGCAAAGGCCCTGAGGCAGGGATTCCCTGGGGGGTTCAAGTGTGTTCCAGTCTGTTTAGAGCAGAGCAGGATGGGAGTCAGGGGCGTGAGAGGAGGCTGGCCAGAGAAGCAGCAGGACCGTGGAGGCCCCTGGGAGGACTTGGGCTTTTACTCTCCCTGCATTAGGGAGCTACCGCAAGCTTTGAGCTGAGCAGTGACATTTAAACGGGGTCGCTGACCACTACGCTGGGATGTGCAGTGGGGAGGCAGGCAGGAGACTGAGGTGAGGCTGATAGAGAGATGCAGGCAGGGGTGATGGCACCAGGCAGGGCGCTAACATCAGAGTTGGGGGGAAGTCAGATTCGGGATCTAGTCTGGAGATGGAGTTCATGGGATTTCCCGATGGGCTGGACGTGGGATCAGGCATTAACACGAAGGTCTGTAGCCTGTGCATCTGGAAGGATGAAGCTGCCATGAGCTGAGATGGGAAGGCAGTGGGCTGAGCAGGTTTTGTAAGAAAGATGAAAGTTCGAGTCACTGTGAAGGGTCTGCGGGGCAGGGAGAGACCCAGGGGACAGAAGCATCCACAAAGGCTTCTGGAGGTAGGGGCAGGGGGCACCCCTGCAGGCCTGCAGGGGAGTGGAGGGCACCAGGGGCAGCAGGGGCCTGTGTTCACCGCAGGGAAGAGTGTGAGAGAGTGTGGTGTGCAAGGAGGCAGCAGACCGGCTTGGCCAGAGCAGAAGGTAGCTGACCTCCCCAAAGTTAACGTCAGCCTGCTCCCAGCTCAGCCCCAGCCTGCATCCCGGGCAGTCACTGAACTAAGCAAACACTCACAGGTCCCCTTCTTGGAGCTGGGCCCTGCCACACAAGGGGGTGAGGCGGTCACTGCCCCTGGACTGTCTCTACCCGTTGAGAGGGGGCAGCAGACGTGTGCTGGCGGAGGGGTGGTCAGGACTGACAAGGTAGGCTTGGGGGCCTAAAGACTGTGAATCCCTGCAAGGTTGTGTGTGTGCGCGCGTGCGCGCGCAAAATTCCAAGACAAGGCACCATGGCGTCAGAGGCCTGGGTGCGAGGGAGCTGCCTCCTGAGCCTTAGGGCTATGCGATCTGGAAGGCCCCATTAAGGCCAGGCCACAGAAGGCCTTAGCTGCACCCTGAGAAGTCTGGGCCCGATTCTGTAGGCGGTGGGGAGCCCCTGCAGGTTCTGGGCCTGGCCTTATGGCTATCACAGCTCCTTTGCCTGGGCTGGGACTGCCCCTTCATGGCAGGACGTAGCGAATCCCGCAGCCCCCTTGCCGACCTGCTGGTCACACAGGTGCGGCCCCACCGGGCCAGCCCTGACAATTGAATGTCCTGATTATGAGATGATGATTTCATAGGGCTCGGAGCGGCCAGGCTCTGCCCCTGGAGGCCCTGCCGGCTCATCTTTATGCAAGGCCCAGCTCTGTGAGCTCGCGGCTTTCCCTACCTAAGGGCTCCTCTGGAGTCTGGCTGCTGAGCCAAAACATCCCGCCCCACACATATCTCACAGCCCGCTGACCGGTTCCTGCTGGACCTTGTTTATCCCCCAGCCCCGGGCTCAAGAGATTAGGGCGATTTTGCATTCCACTTTCCTTCATCTGCTTGTGAGCAGGAGGCCTGGGGAGGAAAAAGTTCAAAGGAGCCGAGGTTTATGGAACCCACAGAAAGGGGGAAGCCAAGAGGGAAACAGGTGAGGTGTGGGCAAGTGACAGGAACGTAACCACAGGCCCTCTGCACTGGGCGGCCTCCAGGAGCCGCTGAGCGGGAGGGACCAGAGTTCTTCTGAAGCAGGAAGGATTTAGGTCAGACAGTGGGAGAATTTCCTGGCTGCTAAAGTATTGTCTGTAGAGGTTGTAAGAGGTCTTGGGCTCTTGCCCGAGGCTGGGAAGAGACCGAGGAGCTCCTGAAAATCATCTCCCAAGTGTTTCTGGAGCTGTGGAACTGCCGAACTGCCTACTGCTCACAGGCAGGTTAGTGTAGTCTCTCCATCATCCAGATGGGGAAACTGAGCCTAAGAAAAGGGAAGGGTTTATACACCAGGGGATTGAAGGAAATGGCAAACTTGCCTTCTGGAGTCCTTACCAGAGAAGGCCCCAGCCAGGTCCTGCCAGGGAAGAAGAGGGAGACAGGCCTCAGGTTCCCGCAGGCTGACATGTGGGCCAGCCTGGGGTGGGAGCATGGCAGGCTAGTCCTGAGCGCCTTATGAAGGGGCCTGGATCTCCACCACCCCCACCCCCCCCCTCAGAGGAAGCTCCAGGGATGGAGCAGGAATGCAGAATGCAGAAGGTCCTTATCCTGGGCTCTGGGTCTTGCCTGCCCTGGAGGGTCTGACGGGGCCCCCTCCAAGGCTGCCTGCAGAATGGCCTTGGGACCCAATTCACTTACACCCACCCCTCCCCAGCAGAGCAGCCTGGCTTCAGCCTTCCCAAGGGCCTTTACTGCCCTCTGCCTCAGTGTCCCTCCAACCCTGGCCCAGACTGCAGCCTGGGTCCCTGTGGGCCCAAACCCCATGGTCAGCACTTTGCTTCTGGGGAACAGTGCCCACAGGGGCCTGGCCCAGAGCTCTTCCAGGCCTTAAGTGGGATAGAGGACAGAGCTGGAGAAGTGGAGGCAGTGGGGCCTGAAGAGGGGGCAGGCCAGCCCCAGTTCCCACAGAAAGTCTGTGACGGAGGGTAAGCAGCAAGGCTCCTGTCTCCCTCCTAGGAGGGGAAGGCGGGATGCTGATGGTGACCAGGGACTCCTCGGGTAGCCTGAGCAAACCGTACACCTGGACTCTCTGTGGTTGGCCCCACCTTGGGAGCCCAACACAAGAAGACTGGCCGTATTAGCCATGGAGGGCACATACTGTGGATTCCTATTTAGCCATGACAAATCATGAGCTAGGTAGACCTTAAAAGTTCATATGTTGACTGAAAAATCAAGAAATGGAATGAGATTCTAAGACAGCATCACTTATATACTTCAAGGATGCATGCCTACCTCCAACACACTGCGGATTTTATAGAGAGGTACAAATGTTCAAGGATATCCGTCGGAGGGTCGGGTGATGATGATGGTCAAAAAAAAAAAAATGTTATTCCAAGAGAGGGGCCTTGTCCAGACCAGCGATAATAGTTAGTTTGCTCTGACGTGAGAATTATAATTAATTCAGTGTCTGCATTTAGACAAATGGGGGTCTCTGGGAGATGTTCTCATTGGAACCCACTTTATATAGAGTCTCCAGTGCCAGGTCCCAGGGCTGGATGATTCCATATTTTCTGGATAAAAGATTCCAGCCCCTCCTCAAAATGACATCTCCATGACTGAGGCTTCTCCCTGCTGAGTAAGCCTTACCCTCTCTCAAGGATCTTCCGTACACTTCTTGGGGTGGGGGGTGGGCACATGGTCCCGCTGTAGCTGCACTTCAGGCAACATGGGCCATCTTGCCTGGAGGGCCTGGTTGGACCCCCTAAGCCAGAAACAGCAAACCAATCCCCTATCCCTCCGTCCACAAGCCCCTGCTCACGCCTTTCCTCCGCTGCTTCTAACAACACAGGGTGCCCTCCAAGTCCCAGCCCCCTGGGGCTAAGAGCCCAAGCCTGGGGGCCCACTACTCATGGAAGCTAATGGAATACCTCATAGGAGAGCAGGTGGAGAAGGAGGCATTGTTCTAGCTGAGGGAGGGGCCTGCAGTGCCCAGGGACCTCTGCAGGGGGTCCCCTCCTCTGACCAGGGTAGGGGAACCCATCCTGAACTCTGAGACTACTCTCTTTTCCAGCAGCTTCCCCCAGTGTGACAGAGGTGGAGCATGGCCAGGGGGAGCCAGTTAAGAGAGACACAGGACCTCTGTGATGGCCAGAGATATAGAACAAAGAAAATAAAATAATGGTAGGAGTGATTCCATTTAGGGCCTAGAAAAGGCATAACTCTCTACAGTGATTAGAAAGCAGAGTAATGGTTGCTTGGGGTGGTGGAGGAGGTAAGGGGCATTAATGGGAAGGAACAGGAGGGAACTTTCAGGGATGATGGAAACAATGCAGAGCTTGATGACGGCCGTAGTCACACCGTTGCACCGTTTGTCAAAATTTATCAAACTGTAAACCTTAAGTTTGCATTTCTGTGATTAGATTATACTTCCAAAAAGCTCATTTTTATAAAAAGAGTAGTAAGTGGAGTCCTGGGAGGGGGTGGGGAGCTTCTCCTAGGGCTGCCCCCACTCACTCTACAACCATGGGCAAATTCATCGCCCTCTCTGAGCCTTGGTCCCTCCAGCACCTCCATGTGCCCTGGTGTCTTGCGGGGGACAGGGTGCAGAGCACCCTCAATCACTGGGACAGTAAAACATTAAGCCACTAATCATTAAAGAAACTTGCCTGGCAGAGGCCAATGTGATGGGGCAAGCAGTCAGCCCCAAAGCATGGTAGGTTGCCCGCTAACGGGGTGAGTGGGACCTAGTCCCTGCCCTCAGAGCGTGCAGAGTCTGGAGGGGAGTAGACCCAGGTAAATACAACGAAATCTAATTGTAGATCAAGACGGATCTAGTGGTGGGACAGACCGACGCGCGACCTGGAATAGCACTGCCAGTCAGGGAGGACTTCCTGGAGCAGGAGGTACCTGTGAACCTGAGATTCATCAACAGTAAGAGGAAGATGGTCATCTAGGGCCAGGGCCAGGGCTCAGATTGTGAGGAGCAGTTCTGGGGTGTCTGTCCGTAGTCTTCCTCCCAAATCCCCACATGTAGGTGCTGCAGATGCCCCTCCCCCGTGGCTTTGGAACTTACAAAACAAAATAAAACAAAACCCACCCACTCAGTTACAATAAAAAGGATTCATGATGTCAAAGCAATTCCTTAAAAACTTTTAAGTAGAGAGTTTTTTAGTACATAGTCTGGGGACAAACAATGAGTTTGAGGTTCAGAGTTGTTGACAGTATCCAACCTCAGTGTGTTTGGACTCGGTACAGGACCAGGGTTGGGGCTCAGTCATAGGCCAGGAGGGGCACCAGCCCTCGCTGGCCCTTAATACCTCTGGCCTCTTACTCAGCTGGCTCTTCGAACTTCCCTGGACTGCAGAGCCAGCTCCTGGAATGGCCTAGAGAGGAAGGGTCGGGCCAGAAAAGCTTTGAGGAGCCATCTGTGCATTGTTTATTGAAACCGGGCCTGGGGTGGGGGCGGCAGGCCATCTGGTGCCAAACACTGGGTCTCACGAGGCTTCAGGCCCAGCGAACCCACCCCCACATGCTGCTGCGGGAAAGGCACTTTGATGATAGGGAAGGGGACCACTCCTGTCTTCCTCACCTCCCCCCACCAGAGGCTTCCGGGTACCAGAGGGTGAGAAGTGGCTTGGCAGCGAGGTGGGCCCTTGCTTTGAGGGCCCAAGGATCCCCGGGGAAATGACTGCAGGCATTCCTGGAGCTTGAGTAATGGGACCTCGGCTGGCCAAGACGGCCCCCCTCAGCCAGGAGCCACCTCATCCTCACCCACCCTCGTGCTCCAAGCTTCCTCTTCATTCCGAGTAGGTGAGATCATACCGGCTGCCGGGACCAGGCTCCCGCGTGAGGCCCAGGCCCAGGGTGAGCCGGGCTGGGGTCTCGGAGCCCAAGGGATGGGTGTGTGAGGGTCTGCCTCACCTTCGGAACCTGAAAGCTGGCCAGAGGAGCTGGACTGCTGTCTGTGTGCCTTAAGCACCCGCACCTTACTTGCCCCCCAAGAGCAGAGGGCTTGGAAGAAAGTCAAGAGCAACCTGTAACCTCATGTCCTCGCTTAACTGCCAGAATCCCGGGAGCCTGAGGGCGAGGGGACAGAGAGGCCCCAGGCTCACTCACCCTGAAGTCGATGGCCAAGCTGGGGGAGAGCCCAGGGCTCTGGAGTCCTCTGCCCACCTCCCAGCCCGCCCTGTGCCCCACCACTCCTGCACTCCCAGCAACCAGAGCAGATCCGTTCCTTCTTTATTCCAATGCAGACAGGGTCTGGACATGTGAGTTTGGTGTCTGCAAATTCCTATTAACGCACGCTCCCCGGGACCACCACAGGCACGGAGGTGGGGGAAGTGCCAGATGGACAGGCCCCTGGCTCTAGCATGTCCCGGGAGCAAGTGATCACGGGGTCTGAGCAGACTCCAGACTTCCCCTGGGCCCTGCAGGGGAGGCAGCCAGGCCCCTCAGGTTGCAGGCCAGAGGATGCAGACAGGCGAGGGTGCGGTTAGGTCTGGGGGCCGATGGCAAGAAGAAAGAAATCCTGAGAAGGTCGGGCTAGGTGCCCAGGCCGAGAATCCTGCCCTGTCAGCAGCCCACTCTACGGGTGTGTTTTCCCGCTTGCCCTTCCCTTCCTGCCCACCCCGCTTGTGCCAGCCAATACTCACCTGGCTCTGCCCGTGGGCTTTCTGGGAGCCACTTGGGGCCAGAGCCCAGGGCTCTCTTGGTGATTCAGGAAGAATGCTGGCTACAGAGGGCATCTGGGGGCTGGTGTCCAGAGGCCTGGCGAACAAGGACATGGAGGGAGTGCCTCTGTCAGGAAATTGCTTGGTTCACTCAGTCCTGCCTCCAGGCCCCTGTTCATGCGGCTTGCCCTGCCAAGTGTACCTTTACCCTGTTCTCTGGCTCACCAGACTCCATTCTGCCTCCCAGACCTCGCTCCTGTCCCAGCTCTTCCAGGGGGTCTCAGAGGCTCCCATAGCACGGAGCTCCAGAAGTGAGCCCCCGTTCCCTGACGTCCCCGGCCCACACCTGAGCCCAGAGGGAATAGTTCCAATCACACCCCTAGCTCAGGTTAGGAAGCTTCTTGGAAGAGGCGACAGCCTGTGTAGAGGAAGGAGAATGATAAAGGGCGGTTGGGGCTGGGGAGGTCTCTGGGCATTAGCCGTGGCCAGCCTGACGCCCCTCCTCCATCTCTCCCACTCCATTGCCAGGTCTCCCTGACTTGGTCCCGGACCCCAACTACGTGCAAGCCTCCACTTACGTGCAGAGAGCCCATCTGTACTCACTGCGCTGTGCTGCGGAGGAGAAGTGTCTGGCCAGGTAAGGGGCCGGGGCTGAAGTGTGGAACATGGAGACAGTCTCTGGGAGTCACCCAGAGCCCGTGCTCATGCCAGCCAGGCTGCCCACAAGCCGAATGACCCTGGTCAAGCCCCTGAACCTCTCAGGACCCGGACCTCTTCGTCTGTGAGTCTCGCCTGCCCCCAGGGAGCCAGGAGGGGAAGGGGACAAGCGAGCATTTCTGTATGGGTCATGATACAAGGACCTTTGCCATGGCACTGAGGGTATGTGTTCTTCCAGTCAGGCAACTGAGGAGCAAAGAGGAACTAGAACCTTCCCGCTCTGAGCTGCCCCATGAGAAGGTGCTCCCACAAGGACACAGGGAATTCCCCCCAGTGGGGGAATAGCCTTCAGGATAGAGGGCAGGAGTGCAGAACCGTCCCCACGGAGGACAGGTTGGCTCTCCAGCTGGGGCAGGGAGCACGGTGACAAAGAGGCCTCAGTTATGTGTGGCAGTGGAGAGAAAGGGCAAGGAGACCAGTTTGCAAGTCCGAGGAATGGGAGCCCAGCTAGCTCTCCCTTATTCCTGGGTGATTCTGCTTCCTGCAGAGCTTGCTTCTGAATGTATTAACCGTGAATATTCCGTTCAAATACATGCGCTTCGGGGACATCCCCCTGTGCTGAAAGAATTAAAGATGACATCGTCCTGCCTCATCTATTGACATCCCTCTATGTTGGAGAGCACCTGTTTTTCTTAATTACTTGCTGCCTTTTTTGTTTTTGTTTTTGTATTTGTATTTGAATTCTTTATTTACTTTTACTCTTAAGTATCTGGGAAGCCCTTTGGAATCTCAGCATTTTCCCAGTTACGGAACTCCCGCCCCTCAGGGTAGCTCACGCGCAAGGCGTGATCTACCCATAACAAGATAAGGCACTTGGACCAGAATGTAACTTTGCTCACTGCTTCCTCGGCCCAGAATGTCTTGCCTTTGATCGTGGGTAACCAAAACCACAGAAAGCGAGACCACGGATAAGGGGGTCCACTGTACCACTCAGTCGGCCTGCGCATTAGGTCTGGTCTCGTCAGTTGTCTCTGGGACGAGAGCATCCTGATCACGTTCCTGCTACAGTCCCTCCAGCAGGGAGCACGTCAGAGCCTCCATGGCAGTCCACCGAGGCTGAGTTTTGAGGAGTTGGGGTCAAAGCCAAATGATCACCCCATCTTCACGGAGCATCCTGCGGGCCCAGACCCGAGCTCCCAGACGGGCTGGGGAGCCAGCAGCTCGGTCCCTGTCCTGGTCCGCGGGATGACAGGACCCAGCCGCAGAGAGTGGGAGGAGAGCGGGTGGGAGCGGCTCTGGGGCGGGAGCTGTCGGTGGGGAGGTGCGAGGAGGAAAGGCCGGCGGGGGCCGGGCAGCTGAGGCAGCGGGGCGCGGGGCACAGACCTAGAGAGCCGGCAGAACTGAAGCTGGGACGGCGGGGCGCTCGGGATCGTGGGAAGTACAGGCCGCAGAGCGCTACCGGGGCACGGATGCTGCCGAACCCGGACCAGGAAGGGACTCGCTCCAAGTCTCAGCGCGGGTCTGTGGCCAAGCTGGGCCTCGAACCTAGGCCCTGATGGGTTCCCACGGTGTGCTGAGCTGAACAGAAGGGCAGGATTGAACTGAACAGAGGGAAGGCGGAGGTTTTGTTCCAGCCCAGACACAGACGGATTCCAAGCCTCCGCCAGACAAGGCCAAGGGCCTCACGTCCTGGCCGACAGAAGCCTGCACCGCCTGTTGTGCAGACATCCTCTCAGAGAGCGAGCTAATCCCTACAGCTGGCCGCCTCCTGCCTCTGGCTTCGGGACCCAGACCTTCCTGAGTGCCAGGGAAGTGCCCCTGAGGCCGGCCAGGACAGCTGTCAGCAGTCCTCCGGGGAAGGGCGGAGCCTCGGTCAGCCCCTGCGCAGGCGCGAGGGAGTGTGTGTCTGTCTCTCTCCCCTCGCTGCTGCCCCTCATTCCTCTCTCGCGCCCCTTCTCTTCTCACAAAGTCCATCTCGGTTGGGAATTAGGGGTCAGCAAGTAAATTGTGAGCCGGCGGTCTGCAGCAGACTCGTGCTCCCCAAACAGAACAGGGCAGGTCGCTGGCCTGGCAGCCGCGCAGTCGGGGAAAGGTGGCCTAGTCACCCCGACCTAGCTCAGGGGGCCTGTGGGATCAGGCTGGGCCGTAGGAGGTGCTGTTAGAGCTCACAGGCAGACAAGGGGCCTCTAAGTGCGGCAATCAAGGCAGACTTCCTGGAGGAGGGAACCTGAGTTCCCTCCTAGGAGGCCTAGGAGGCCGGGTGAGTTCTGGGTCAAACGAACAGCATGGGCAACAGTATAGATTAACAGGAGTGAAGTCTGCTGGAGAAACAGTGTTTGGAGCTGGAACCCCAGGATGTGTGGAGGAGCCGCAGGGCAGACAGGATCGGGAAAGTGAAATGGCTTTGACACGGAAGAGCCTGAGCTCGTTTCTTAGGCCCGTACCTGAGACGTGACGTACTTTGGTCAACAATCAGGGCTCTGTGCACTTACTAGAATCTCCTGGATAGGGCCCCTTTTAAAAAGCCCTCCAAAGATTTTGATATGCCCCCCCCTCCCCGAGGCTGCCCCCAGCAGAGAGTCACCTGCAGGTGTGATTGTCCTTGTCAGGCCTGATGCCACTTGAGAAAGGCTTCCTTGGTAGCTGCCGGCCACGTGCTGGAAGCCAGAAAGGAGGGGACCGCCCAGCCCGTGTGCTCACGAGAGTTGGGGAGAGGTCTGAGCCGCAGCCACAGGACGGGGAGTCAGTGGAGAGGACCTTCAGGGACAAGTCGGCCCATTCCGGGTGTTGCTGCCGCAGGACCCAGCCCCACGCCCGTCTCTTCACCTGTCCCTGCAGCACAGCCTACACCCCCGAGGCCACCGACTACGACGTGCGGGTGCTGCTACGCTTCCCCCAGCGCGTGAAGAACCAGGGCACCGCGGACTTCCTCCCGAACCGGCCACGGCACACGTGGGAGTGGCACAGCTGCCACCAGTGAGTGCCCCGCCCCCCACGCCCCCACACCCCCCAACCCGGCGGGCCGGGGTGGGCGCCCCCTCGGTGCCTGAGCTCCTCCCCCCAGTTAGTGCCCCCGGAGGAGCTGGTGCTGGTGGGAGGGCCTGCCATGGATCCACCCCCAGGGCAAGGGCTCTTTAGCTAAACTCGACTGGAAGAGGATCGGTCTTAAGGGACGGAAATGTCTAGAATACAGGGAATGGCCCATGGCAGGCTAGTCCAGGTGGGAGCCCAACAAGGAAGTGAGGAGTCCCAAGGAGGTGCTCTCTAGGGTGATCTGGCTAGGAGGGGAGCCCCAGAGACACGGCCCTGGGGGACACAGGGGCCCAAGGATTGGTCAGGAGGCTGGACCGTCTCAGGAAGCCCAGCGGTGACTAGGCCCCCTTCTCTCTCCTCCTCCTGTCCTTTGACCCCAGACATTACCACAGCATGGATGAGTTCAGCCACTATGACCTGCTGGATGCAGCCACAGGCAAGAAGGTGGCTGAGGGCCACAAGGCCAGCTTCTGCCTAGAGGACAGCACCTGTGACTTTGGCAACCTCAAGCGCTACGCGTGCACCTCTCACACACAGGTCCGGCCGGGTGAGAGGGCCAGGGCGGGGACCCAGGAGTGCGGGCTCCTGGCCGCTCCGCTCGGTGGGAGCACGGGTCTTCTCACCCGTCATCAGGTCACCACGGGGTCCCTTCCTGCATCACTCCCAGGCGTGTCTGCCCCTAGAAAGAAAGGAACATTCCAACAAAGTCTAGATGGCATGGTGTTCCTCTGCCTGTTTGTCCACCCAAATCTGCCTTCCTGTCAGTCTGTCCAGCCACCTATAGAGTGTCTATCTATCCTGCCCGTCTGTCTCTTCATCTGTTCCTCCATCCGACTCTCCAGGCATCCCCTTCCTTCAGTCCCTCCCACCTGGCTGTTACGCCTCCCTATTTTCTGTCTGGTCCATCCACCCAGCGGGCTCTAGAAGGGAGGAAGGAGGGGCCCAGACTGCTGGAGTGGCACTGGGTGGCTCTGAGGAGTGCCCAGCACCCCAGCCTTTACTCCTGTCCCTTTCCCCAGGGCCTGAGCCCCGGCTGCTATGACACTTACAACGCGGACATCGACTGCCAGTGGATTGATATAACCGACGTGCAGCCCGGCAACTACATCCTCAAGGTGGGCCTCCTGGTCTGGGGCGTTCCCTCCTACCTGCCGCCCCCGCTCGTGTCCCTGCCTCTGGGGTGCGCTTCGGCCTCGAGGGCATCCCCTCGTCCCCGGCTGTGGAGCCATCACGCGGAGGTGTCCTCTGCCCGTTGGAGGGTCTTAGCCTCAAGCAGGCAGAGGCTCCCTTTCCATAAAGACAAGGAACCTTGGGCCCAGGTGTGGCCATGCTAGAGGTGGTCTTCCCTGGGGGACAGAGGACTTGGAGAGCTATGCGGTGGACCCCCTGTCTGCAGACGGGAGGCTTGCGCCCTCCGCAGGAGGACGCTGCCGTGCTCTGAGAGGGACCCGGCGCTCCTCACAGGGACCGCCGCAAAGCCAAGGGCCCCTGGGACCAAGAGTCCCGTCTGGCCTGACCCCCTTCTCCAGGGTATGCTTGCCCCAGTGCCACTTCCCTTGGGGTGGGGTGGGAGCGAGTAGAAAAGCATGTCAAGGACACACAGCCCAGTGTGGTACGTCCATGCAGGCTGCGCAGGGCCCGGGGCGTCGTGGCCTCCTCCATGTAGCTGCGAAGCGAGGGCGGGGAACCATTCTGCCCCTGGACCCGCTGCTCTACACCCAAGAGCAGGAGACGGAGCAGTGAGCAGGGAAGACCGGCTTGGGAGGCGCTCTGAGCCGCATGAACACGGCCTGCTGGGAAGGCTGCATTTGGAACACAGCAACTTGGGAGCCTCTGGTTACGGCCCATCCCCAGCACCTCCCAGCAGGCTCGGCGGCCCCTCTGCTCAGACTCAGCCAGGGGCCAGGGTTGTCAGGGTCTTCTCCTTCCCGTGTTCATCCACTCACCACATGTGTACAAAGGCCCCTCTGAGTTCCAGGCACTCGGATTCAAACCACATCAGTAATGCACACTTCCTGCCCTGGGGGAGTGTAAAGGATTTAAAAGTAACATGTTCTTAGATGTTCTGCAACTGTAAATCTGGGTGTAGCCGACCCCAGTGCAGCCAGTTAATCCAACATTCAGAAGGCTTCCTTGTGTCCCGACAGGTCTTCTGCAGACAAAAGGCACAGCTTATGCCTGGGCCATCCTCTTAGCGTCAGGCATCCCCGGGTCCAGGGCGGGAGATGCCACCTGGCAGCGGACAGCCCTTGCATGGGTCATCTCGACGGACATGTGTGGTCAAAGGGTGCCAGCCTCGGACTCGGGAGACCAGGCCCGGGATCCCTGCTCGGCCCCTCATTCACTGCTGTGATCCCTGGGGCAGTGATTCAGGCTCTCCGACCCTGAGTGCCCCACGCAGGGCCCCCCTGGCCTGGGCTCTGGCTCTGGGGCAGCTTCCCATCTTCCAATAAGAGTGACCTGGTGATGTTTTCTTCGACCACGAGCTGTCTCTTCTTCCCTCTCTCTGCATCTCTCCGTGTATCTGCGTCACTGGATCTCTGTCTTCATAGCTCTTGGTCTCAAGTGGTCTTTCTCCTCCTCTCTGTCCCTTCCATGTCTGTCTGTGTGCATCTCCACCACCTTCCCTGGTGACCAGGTGAAATGCAGCCCCCCGACCAGATCCCTTTCCCCTCTGTTCCCCTTCTTCCTCAGGTCCACGTGAACCCAAAGTACATTGTGCTGGAGTCTGACTTCACCAACAACGTGGTGAGATGCAACATCCACTACACAGGTCGCTATGTTTCTACAACAAACTGCAAAATTGTCCAGTAAGTGCTGCCCCGGCCCCTGTCCTCCCCGGGGAACAGGTGGGGGCCACGTGAACCACACAAGGTGCCTGCACTCTGGGTCACCTTCCTAGCCAAACATGGCTGTGCGGGAGGAGCCTCGTCCATGCCCACCCCGAGCTGAGTGCTCGTGGTGGGGCTCCAGCCGCAGGCTGTTGATCTGGGGCCAGATTATGTGGCTCCCTAAGCTCTCCCAAGGGGGAACCAGCAGCAGGAAGCGGCATACTTGGTGGGGGGGAGTCTGTCTGTGACACAGGGCAGGTCGCCTCACCTCTCTGAACTACTTTTCTCAACTACAAAAGAGGCCCCTTCCCAGGTAGGCTTGTGAGATTAAAAGAGTGAAAGGCCTGATGTCTGGTGTTGGAGAACCTTCCCAGCCATGCCCCATGAATGGCAGCTGCATGACCAACAGTGTCTGTGGCGAGTAGATTCAACGAAACAGTCCCAGATTAGAACTGATGCTGGTTGGGATGAGCTGCCATCTGGGCCCAGGTATACCAGAAGCTGAAGGACTCTGGCCCAGGCCTTTGGCACATGGCTCTGGGACAGGGGCTCAGTTGCCACTGCTCTAGGCTGTCTGTCTTCAGTCTGGCTCCTGATTCCCCATGTGAAGTACTTTGCAGAGGTACCTTCTGCTTACAAACTCACCAAGAAACCCCACCCCACTTCATGGGAATTTAAAATGTTTGATCAGCTCAAAGCAACTCTTTTCCATTAAAACAAAAACAGAATAAAACAGGAGTAGTCCTAGAACTTTAGTCCATCAGCTGGGGGACAAATGGCAGAGATTTCAAGGCCCAGAGACAAAAGCACATGCTTATTAATGATTGACAGGTATGAAGTTTAGCCTGTGACCAGGCTCAGGGCTCAGTGTGTGACCAGGATTAGGGCTCAGTGTGTGACCAGGATTAGGGCTCAGTGTGTGACCAGGCTCAGGGCTCAGTGTGTGACCAGGGTCAGGGCTCAGTGTGTGTCCAGGATTAGGGCTCAGTGTGTGACCAGGCTCAGGGCTCAGTGTGTGACCAAGATTAGGGCTCAGCGTGTGATCAGAGTCAGGACCCTTTAGCTGCAGCCACTAAGCTAACCGTTCACACACACACACACACACACACACACACACCACCACCACCACCACCACCACCGCCACCCCCACCACGCTGTGTATATTAAAAATGAGAATAGCAGCCTCTACTTCAGTATAGAGATTAGATTCCTCATAAATTGAATTTGATCAGAATTGTCCAGGTCACAGAGTCTGTTTAAAACAACTGACTCCTGCCCCATCCTTGGCACCTTGGCTCTTTCGTAGGCCTGGGTTTCTGACCTCCTCCTCCCTCAGGTCCTGTCTCATTCAGCCATTCCCAATTCAGGGGTCACCTAAATGGTAGAGGGTTTCTGGGAAGCAATTCCATGGAAGGAGACAGAGGAACGAAGGAAAGGGCACGCAAGAAAAAAAGGCGGCCAAGGGGTGTGCAGGGAACCAGGGAGCCTACATCCCTCTCTTGTCCTGCCTGCCGCTGGGAAGGGTGGATTGAAACAGCATCCCATTTCCCGGCCATGCCATGAGCCAGGCCCCTCAACACGGCAGACGGAGAAGCAGCCCCGTGCCCCCCTCCGGCTTCCCCGGGGGCCTGCGGGCCAGGGAAGGCGGAGGCCCTTCTTTCCAAGCCCTTTACATAAGTGCTTGGAAAGGCTCAAGTCTTATTAGAGCGTCTCTGGTACCCTGACCGCAGGCAGGCGGCCGGGCCAGCACACAGGAAGCCGGACACAGTGTTCCCAGAAAGGCCACGGGACTGACGCCTGTGGCTTTCGGTCATGTTTCAGAAGAGGAGGAAGGAGGCTTTTTTAAAAAGCACTTTGTTAGAAAAAACAAGACAGTGTTCCCAGACAGTAGCATCTCTACTGATGGCCTAGAGAACACTGTGGAACTCAGGGCGGTGGGGGGCGGGGGGTGCTGAGACGGCCCCTGTGTGGGTGGCGGAGGCCCGGACACCCGTCTTCTGGAGGCTGGGGCTGAGGGTTCCACCGCGCCTGCCCTCCCTCCCTCGTGGGATCTGGGCCTCCGCGGGGCACACAGCTGAGTGAGGGGCCTGCCCCGCAGCTACCATTGACCTGCTCGCTTTCTTTCCTTAGATCCTGATCTCGCAGAGGATGGACAGGCGGCCAATCTCCCCACTTCCCAAAGCCGGCCAGGCTCCCCAGGAAGCCTCCTGCCAGGACTGACCTGGCCCCCCCACCTACAGGCAGGGGCAGATGGAAGCCACAGGCATCCCTCCCTGCCGGCCTCAGGGAGCAAACGCAGACCGAAACCACAGGGATTCCGGATGCCAGGCCCAATTTTGTACTTAACTCTTCTCGACAATGGTATTTTGTCGGTTGTTGGTTTTTATTTTTTATATTTTGGCCATATCACAGAGCAAGATTGCCCAGGCCTGGGCTGAATAAAACAAGGTTTTTCTACTCTGTGGTTCTGCACTGTGGCCTGCCGACTGGGCTGGCCAGAGCGAGGTCAGGCTCAGGGGACGTCCTCGGGCTTCCTCCTTCCCCTAGCAGAATGTGGCAAGGACAGCCACCACCTGTCAGGACCGCAGCTTGACCAAGAAGGCATCCAGCCCAATGTGGAAACCCTGTGGGTTTATCCCAAGGCCAAGCCCACTGTGTGGCAAGGGGCCCACATCCCTGAGGGTGGGACCCTGGTGCCAGGGTGGGGGCAGCTCTAGCCCACTCACCCCTGCTCAGGGTCCCCCTCCTCCGCCTCCCTTCTTCCTGCAGCCTCACACTCTCACCCCCTCCCTTTCTCACACCATCGCTCACTCTACCAGCCACCCACTGCCATACTCGAATACTGAGTACCTACTGAATGCCGGGCACAGGGAAGGGAGGAGGGTGTTCACCACGCCTAGTGAGACTGAGAAAAGGGAGAGCCTTCCGTAGGCAGGTGGCGTCTCTGAGGAAGGGAAGGGACAAGAATCTACTTGGCTCAGGCTGAAGGGGGTGGGAGTGGGAGGTGGAGGGAAACCCCGTGGCCGCCGGCCCTCCCTCTCCTGCCCTGGCCGTGGTATCCCCAAGGTCCCGGACACTGGGTCAGGGCAGGAAGAAGCAGAAGGAGGGCGCCTCTCCTCCTCCCCTAGCATGAGCCCTTAGGGTATCTCTGCACCCACCTGCCCCTTCCTTCCTTGGGGATTAACACTAGTGAGAACGGGCAAGGCACTTGGTCTAAGAATGAGAGCTCTAGGGGCCAAGGCCAATTCTCCTTGTTCACTGGTTATGTGACTTTGGGCAAGTCCTGTTCTGGGCCTCGGTTTCCCCATCCGTAAAATGGGAATGCCCTTGTGCCTGGTTCACATGCTGACACAGAGCCAGTGAGCCGCTGTGACAGGGGCAGGCACCGGGGGAGCGGCAGGGGGGTTGCCCAGCCCTCCACCTCACTTTGGTTCTCACGCTCTTCATGCCTCGGGGCCCCCGGCAGCAACGGGGCGGAAAGGCAGGGCTTCTTGGAGGCAAGCAGTTCCTCCAGAAGGGTCCTGGGGCCACTCCCTAGCCCAGTCAGCAGGATGGAATGAAGCCTGGCCACAGCCTCGCACCTTCCCTCACTGAGTCGTGCTGGGATTCAATGCTTTCCTGGCACGGGGTAGGTGCTGAGACCCTGCCGCCCTCCATGAGGCGCTGGAGAAGGACTGCTTGAAGGACTGAGGAGTGTGGGCAGGAGCCTGTCATCCAGGGCTCCCCATTCTGCTGTGGCCTTGCCCATGTGTGCCCCCAGAGATGCTGTCCCAATTCCAGCCCCACCCCCCTCCCTTCTGGGTGCCCCCAGAGTGAGCAAGGGAGGTCTCAGATAAGAAGGGCCCTAGGAGGTCGAGTCAAAAGTCCCCAGTTCCCAGGTCAGACAGTTGAAGCCCAGAATGGGAGCCTGTCTGAGGGCCTAGGTGAATTCAAGACAGACCCACTGCTGGAGCCCGTGCTCAGCCGCGGGCCAGGGCCGCATGCCAGGTGTGTGCCAGTGTTTTCGGGGGCAGTATCCGTGCCTTCAGCTCAAGGAAGCCTCCTGGGAGGCACAGCGCTCAGGGGCCAGAGGGTGGGGGAGCAACACCAGCAGGAGGAGCGGGATCACCTTCCCTGCCTGAACCAAGAAAGAGTGATTCCCTGGAATCCTTCACATTCCGAGCAAACAGTACGGGGTTGGACTGGTCAGTGAGGTCCTCAGTGCCACACAGAGAGTCCCTCTTGGTCCTGTGTGCCCCCCTGAGCTGGGCACTCAGCCCCATACAGGACCTTGTGGGGGAAGAAGAGAGGCCTGGTGGGCGAGCCATCGCCACGCCCGACTCAGCACCTCGCTCCAGGGCTCACAGACCCAGAGGGCCTCCACCAGCGCGTCTGGGCACTCATGTGCCATCTAGATCACAAAGGGCCTCTCAGACACCTGCCCAATATCCTCCGCCCCAGGCTTGCTCAGGCCCCAGGCGGAGAAGCTCACCACCTCTCAGACCATGCTGTGAGAAACATCTCGGGGGGCAACAGGCCTCCTGTCAGCCTCCTCATAGGTCTAGGCCAAGGAATCTGTGAAGTACTAGTAATTTGGGGAAAGCGTGGCTGGAAGCAGGAAGGACAGGGAGAACAGACACCATGCAAGTGGCAGGGGACCTGGCTGTGGTCCTAACTCTCCCGGCCTCTGGGCCTCAGTCTCCCCATCTGTGCCCCGAGGGACGGGGCGCCTTGGGCCCCTGTGCTGCTCCTCATCTTCCAGAGAATTGGGCAGAAGAGATGAGAGGGGAGGGAGAGGAGCGGTGACATGCAAAGCCCAGGCTGTGTGGCGACAGGTCAGGGCTCTGCTGCAGGACCGAGAGCACGGCAGCCAGGGGAGAGACGGCAGCCTGCGGAGGGCCTGGGGCATCACTGGCCTTGGGGGATCCTCCAGACAGAGGCTTGAAGTGGGGGCATCAGATGCCAAACCAGGCTGCAGCTGGAACTTTCGGAAAGCCTCACAGTGGGCCTTGGGCAGGGGAGGGGGGCAGGGCCGGGGTCTCTGGTGAAAGGACCACTCAGACCCAGGTCCCGCAGCATTCCTGGCCACAGCCTCGGTCCTCTGCCCTCCCCTGCCACCTAAGCACCGAGTTCCACGCCTGCCCCCTCCCCAGAGCGGCAGTGGGGTCTGTGCCTGCTGCGTAGGGTCTGGGAGAAAACATGACCCCTCCTGGCTCCCTGACTCCACAAAAACCCCGCCTTTTTTGAGAAGCTACTTAGGCCTGGGTCATGGAAGCATCTGAGAACTAGTGTGAGCGGCCGAGCCGGCCCACATCGTTCCTGACTTTTAGGCGAGGAGCTTCTTGATCCGTAGGATTGACCCTTAAGCGAGCACTTGAGTAGACTGCTTGGCCGGGGGTGGGGGCCTGTGAGACATTTACAGATTTCATGACAACAAAGCCTCCGAAGTGTGACCCTAAAGACACCGGGAACACAGGGCCCTGCCCCTACCCCTCCGCACTGGAGGTCCCTCCGCCTGATCCCGCAGCACCCACCCTGACCCACAGGCCCACCTCACCCCTGATGCTACCGGTCAGGCCAGCCTCCTGACGGAGGTTCCCGCGGGCCCGGAAGATTCCAGACTGAGTGAGGGTGATAGCACCTGCCCTCCAGCCTGGGGTGGGGAGCCCTGCTTCCCAGCTCCTGCCAGGCCTCTCCTCCCCTTCCTGCTCAAGACAAGAGGCCAAAGCCTCCCCAGCTATCCAACCACCGCCTCCCCAGCTATCCAACCATAGGCCTGGGCTCCCCAGCGGCTCCTCACTATGGCTGCATCCGGGTACAAACTAAACCACAGCACTTGCTGGAAATCCCCCAGATTGAGTCATGCAGACGGTGCCCGGGGGCAGGGTTGGCACCAGCTGGCCAGGGAGAAGGAGGGGTGCTGCCCACACCCCCGGACCCTCACTGGAGCCCATGGGTGACGCACAGCACCCTGGACATTGGAGCAGAACTTTCTGAGAATGAGAAGGTCCTGAAAAAGCTTTCACAGAGAAACTCAAAATACAGAAGGCAGGGGAAGCTGGTATATATTTGGGTTTCCACATTCCCTGGCTATGTGAAATCACGTCTTTTTTCTTTTTTTTTTTTTTTATTCTTCGAAACCACATTTAACCTGCTTCGAGCCGCACGCTACTAGCTGGTTTACCCTAGGGGTTTTTAAAGGCCCAGAACAACAGCGAGGGACCCTGTGGTCTTCAGTCCACTCCAGGCACTGCACGCTGGCCCCGCGGCCCAACTCCGCGGGGCGGCGCAAGGACACCACGCAGCAGTGTCCCTGGAGGGTGACTACATCCTCAGGGCGCTGCCCAGAGCGGGACGCTGTCCTTGCTACCAGGGGAGGCACAGCCCCGTCTCTCCAGTCCAGGGGAAGCTCTCCCAGCCTCCTACCTCTGCCGGCTTCCACCATGCCCTCCCCAATTCCTCCCTCCTTTCCTCTTCCTCTTTGGGGCAACCTTCCATCACCCCCACAGTGTGCCTCGGTTCACGAAGCCACTTCAGATCTGGCCCTTGGGGTGGGGAAGCCCTAGTACCTTCTCGGGGGGGGGGGGGGAGGCAGAAAAGACCCTGCAGGAGAACAGCAGGAATGATGCCAATGAAAGCTAACTTCTTGAACACAGCCATGTGCCAGGCTCCGCCCTAAGTGCTCTACAAACATTCACCTTTAATCCTCACAATGACCCTATGAAGGCAGCGCTATTATTATTCCCATTTTGCAGATGGGGAAGCTGCGGCAAAGAGAGGCCATGAGGCCATGGGGCTTGCCCCACTTCCCCCAGTTAGTAAATAGGAGAGCCAGGATTCAAACACAGGCAAATTTCTGGAGACAGGGGTGTGGCTTCCACGAGATCCTCCAAGGCATCTGGGACCAGACAGAAAGCCATATGCCTGTGCTTGGAAGGACAGCCTGACCACTGTTCAAACCTTCATCTCCTTCCTCTGCAGCTCCCTGGAATCATGACTCCTGGAAACAGCAGTTCAAAAAGTGGCTGGGAGGGGAGAGGCAAAATTCCTCTTAGAAGCAGTATAATTCATACTTAGATTGTTCTTTATGGGCAGGGAAGGTAGGAATGAATTAAAATAGACAAGCCCTCAGCTACGCTAGTCAAGAAAAATAGTAATACAAAATATGAGATTAGAAAGGGAATAGTAACACATGGCGATTATTTTTGAAATTTAAGAGAGTAGTATGTACAACTCCATGCTTATAAGTTAGAGTGTTTCAACATTAAATCATAGCATTCTAGGAATATATTTGTAAAGTGCCAAAATTGACTCAATGAGCGAAAGACCAATAACCACAGAAGAAATTTTTCAAAGTTATCATCTCTAGGGGTCCCTGGGTGGTTCAGTCGGTTAAGCGTCTGCCTTCAGCTCAGATCATGATCCCAGGGTCCTGGAATTGAGTCCCGCGTCGGGCTCCCTGCTTAACAGAGAGCCTG